CTAATTTCTATTGCTGAAAATTGAATAAATAAGAAAAATAGCAGACACACTGTGGTCTTTTCTATTTTGCAGTCGGTAACCACGTCAAGAAATTTGGTCAAAATTTTTAATCAAGGATTTAGCTTTCTGCGTGAATCAAACTTAAAATGTTTATTTGTGTTCGACACAATGCATTGACTTTAGTTTAATGCGTATTCTTATGAGTCTGGGTTCACAAAGATTTTACAATTACTGGGAATGCGTTCTTATAATAAGAATCAAATAATGCCAAAATGGGGCATTTTCAATGCCTCACTGCTCCTTAATGAGCATGGGCACCCCCTTTTTTATTTCAAAATTGAAGTTATAATATGACAAATATTCAGTGGACAAAGTTTGAACGAAACTCTATTGTCACTTTTATTTCAGAGGAATTACCTTAATTGTTTTATTTTCAGGTGAGACATTTCGCCCAAAAACGGAAACTTTTATTCATGAGAGAGGATGAAGTCCCTGGGATGTAAGTAGGCTAAACTTAGCAATTCCCCTAGAAATTGATCATAGAAGCCATAGAGCGTTCAAACAAACAAAAGGCGTGCACGAAAAATTGAAAGAAAGCTCTCCGCAACTGGACTGCGCTCGGCGGGGCGTGAGGTTTTCCATCCCCGTCAACGTCAACTTTAACGGGAGTTGCGGAGGGAAGTACTTATTCTCGCGTGTTTGTTTCTCGATTCCTCTACAATTTGAGAGCCTAAAGAAGGCTAACAACGTCAAAGTTGATTATCATTCTGAAAGGGAGGGTGAAGTTAAGATCCATAAATCATAACCATCAATTTAATTTTCTTCTTTTTTCGCTGAATATTAACCATCTTTCATTTTTATTTTTCCTTTTTATTAGGTTTAAGCGTCTGGAATTATCTGAAAGTCTGCAAGATGGTACGTGAACAAAGAGGAGATTACCCAGTATACAAGAAAATAAAAGACAAAATTACAGTCTAGTCCTGAGTTAGATCATTCTGTAGGGAATTCTTGCGGGTTCTACCCACACTAGTGCTGGATCTGTGCTGTCTTTATTGTAAAGTAACGACGTGATCCTAGCAGTTGTATTTGAAAGAAGTCAACACAGAACAAGTTTTCTAGATTGTACAAAAGACAAACGTCATGTAAATAACGTAGACTAAATTTTTTATTACATTATTTTTAGATTTATGAGGTAACTCCTTTGCAATAAGTTCTTCGGGTGATTTTGTTTGGAATGGTCAATGCTTCAAAATCACCCGGATCACGTTGCATCAAAGGAATCGATGCGTTCACTCGGGGCAAAGATTCATCGGTTCCTTTGATGCACATGCTCCCAGTGATTTTGGATCACTGATCCTGGTCCGGATCATCCCGTTCCAGAGAAACGCACCCTTAATTACGGCCTTAATAACGTATTTCCTAAATTTTCCCTGTCTTGCTAACATCTATCTAACTATTTATCTATCACAAAGGTAAACTAAGCCGCGAGGCTTTCTACAAGGTTAACATTAAGAAAATCCTGTGGTATATGGATTTCCTGAAAGAAAAAAGTCCTCGACACAGGCCCCGGTACAGCCAGCAGGCTTGGTTACGACAGGACAAAAACGCTGACCCGATTTTGAGGCGTTTGCTCGAAAGGTGAGAAATCCCAGAAAAACCATGGTAACATGGAGAGAGATGCGTATTAAAATGGCACTCATTTTTTTACTTAATTATTATTATTAATATTATTACTATTACTATTGCTATTATTATTATTATTATTATTATTACTTACTTACTTACTAACACAACTTACTAATTAAACAGTATAACTGATTACTTACAATATTGCTACATAGCTAAATGACTCTCATTTGTTCAGAAGACTTTTCTATTCGGAGGAGATCTTTAAAATCTTGAAAAGGATAGCCTAGAAGTTGGAAAGTTGCCGTACAACTTGAAGATACTAAATCGACCGAAACGAAACTAGGCAAGTTTGACGAAAAACAATGAGAAAAGACAATGAGAGAAAAAACTAACACGGGCGGAAGGTGATAATTTTTTTTTGTGTGTGTGTGTGTGTTGTTGTTGTTTTTTCATTTATGGTGAATCTGCCCTACTGGTATCCAGAAGCTGAGTTGATAAAACTTTAAACCTTCATTTCTGAAGGGGAAAATAACTTAAAATCGGCAAATTATTATTTCAGACACATTTTTGGTAGCCATGCTATACTTTTAGTACACTTGTATAAGACACCTCACATTTTAGGCAATTACGATGTGTTACTAGAAAACAAATGACTTGCAAAGTTGACAGGTAAAGATATATCGATTAACTTTTCCAAAGCAACCATAAATAAAATGAAAGCAATATTCCATCATGTGGCTCTCAAAAATCATTTTGGCACAAATTCGTCACTATTAGAATGGGTCCTCTTTCTAATATGTTTGCTCCCTGCTGGTAGACCGGTAAAAACAAACCATCATGGTGCTGTTGCGAAAATTAGGTCTATTAAAGTGAGCCACAAAGTAATGCCTCCACGGACTGCAGACTGATTGAATCTTATCTTATCGTTTTTGTTGCAGAATTACTAAATTAACACAGTTACCGAGAAAGCTCATACAGGGAAGCGAGTGGATGCAGGTGAGGAAGTACAGTCCCTGTAGACAGTTTTCTATCCCTTACACGAACCGCCGACATTACAGTCCTTCGAAATAGAAATTCTCCTTACTGAATGCTATCCATATCTTAAAATGTTAGTTCTGAGAATTTTGTACCGCATCAAGAAAATACAGCCCGGTTTAGCATTTGTTCTATTCCCTCTGTATTGCAGGTACTGCAACACAAATTGCATATTAGGCCATTTTCGATATATTAAAATTCTGACATGGCTCCGAGGCTTGGGGGAATAAAACAAAAGAAATTAATTATTCATCACTTAACCTCGATGTGATTCCTTTTGTTTTATTTCCCCTGCCTCCGAGCCAAGTTAGAATTTTAATATATCGAAAATGGTCTGTTAACCATAACATTGCCAATTTTGCTTCCAAATAGCCCCTTGCATGTCGATCTCTCACTTGGTTAAATAACCTATTATTAGAACCTGGCCAAAGACCCATACGATTCCACAGGGGTCCTCGTAATTATCAAGTGAAACATTGAAAATCGTTTAATTCTATGTATACCGCAACATCATGTATTTTTAACGTTTCAGAGGATGTGACTTTTGATTAAGACTTCACGTAACTTGTGGCGGGCCAGGAGAATTAATCCTGCCAGGTTGTGTTGCAAAGTTCTATGAAAAAACCCTGTCGCTATGTGTTTGTTTCTAAACAAAACTTAGATAACAAAAAAAAAATTTCGTGTGCTGTGTTTTGCAGGTTGTCCAGTATGACCCGTATGGGCATTATCACGGCCACCTGGATTCCAACCCATTTGAAAACCCGGTTATCCCTTGCTGTCACCAGAATCACTTTAAAAAGCCCGAGTGTCGAGTATGCAGGTACTGAGAAATAATCCATGCTGCATACCATAAACTGCTGCTTATAAGCTTTCCCGTTTATAGCCCACCCGGTCATAGGCCATCTACCTGTAAACAAAAATATTACTTCCGATTAAAAGCTCTAGTTTAAAATAAAACGAATTAGATTTATTATGATGGTTTTTAGCAACCTTCATTAAAAATCAGTTACGAAGCAGCAAATTTCGAAACAGTTTTCTTATTCCGCTTACACGAGCCCCNCCCCCCCTCTAAAAAAGGGAGATATATCCTCCCAATTAATGCCGATCCAAAACCCCTTACGGAGTTGTATAAGCCTAGGGCTTTTAACTCCCGGCTGTTTACATATGGTATGTGTAAAATACAGCTATGCGGACTGGTCTTTACCTGAAGCCATTGGCATTTACTAACCTGGGTGATTCCCCCGGGGGGTGGACCTCCGTGTGGAAAGGTCGGGGATGTTCTCCTGAAAAATCGTACTGAACTCCCAAGGGAAACCAATCCGGGCGTGGCTCACGCTTTATTTGAACCCTAAAAGATACCACTTCAAAATGGAAATTAAACGGAAATGCGTTTTTTTTTTTAATTTTTTCTTCGAGCACAGTTTAGCCCGGTTACAAATAGTGACATTTCGTCCTGAGTACCCTTTCTGAGACAAAAATAGTGATTTACAGTATGCGAGACGACGACCATCCCCGACCTATTCACACAAGAGTCTCCAAAAAAAAAGATGATAGATCATCCAGTTTAGGAGTCCCCCCGCCCTCCCCGGGATGATAAGGTCCATGAAGACTCTGGACGTACGATCGGAGCATTAGATTTTAACAGGATCGTAATCTCTTGGTTGTATTCACAGATTCATAACAATATTGTATTACCTTAACAACGTGGAAGAAGGAGGAGAGACGGCCTTCCTGATAGCAGATAACTCTACAATCACACCAGACGTGAGTGGAGTTATTAATTAGTTAACAAGTGGGTCATCCCTAAGCGTGAGTCCGCCTTTCTTAGCCTTCACGGGCGATAGAAATAAATGCGCCACAATCCGGCTCAACCCAAAGCGCAGTAACGCGACAAACCGTATTTATTATGGCTATAGTCTCAGCTGTAGTTTCCTGTTACTTGATCGTCTACGGTACGTAGTGAAATAGTAAAAGAAATCACGTACACGGGGTCTCCGCAGCGCTGAAATACTGCGCCCTCTTTCTTTGATCAAGCAACGGAAAATATGACTACCAAAAATACCTTTCGTTATTGTTATAAAAGCTTTAGCCCCAAGGAAACCTTTTCGAACTCTATCATGAGCTCTGTATTATGTGCGAAAAGAACTCAGGCCACTGGTTGAACCACGGTAGCTACACAAACAATAAATCAAGCTAAGAAGCGTAAGACTGAACTTGAGTTTAATATTATTATTTTTTAATTGTTTCCTCGCAGGAATTGGAAAGCCCCAACGCTACCACGGACGAATTTAACTTGAGCGTCAACTGTCACTTGGCAAATCTTGTTCTGCCTCCCAAGAAAGGCACTGCTATCATGTGGTACAACAACTTTATTGACCCGGACAGCGGTCTTCTAGGATCTGTAGATCGCTACTCGCTTCACGGTGGATGTGACGTCATCAA